TAAATACCACGAGGCCATTGCTTCCCCAAAGCCTGATCCTCTGATCCCATAATGTTACCAGTATGTCACCACTTGCTGTATAAGCTCACCATAGCAGTGAGAAATCTTGGCTTTCTATTGGTTAGATCTCTAACAATGAGATCGTAGCCAAGCTGACGAATAGCTCACAACAGGACCAGGAGGTCCCATCCAATCTCCGCACAGTCATCAGCAGGCTATCGGCAAAATCGTGGAAAAATGAGATGAAAGATCATGGAGCTTCACACACAAGTGAGCTGTGCCCATAGCTAAAGGTACTCTGTGGTAGAATTTCCACCACCTTTTACATTTGGAAATCTAAGCTCATCTCATCCCACGTAGTCCAGGCACTTTTCATCAATTGTGCTTCTAGTGAAAGCACCAAGCCTAGAATCTTATTATCAGAACTTTGTACTTTACAGTTCATTACATTAGTATACATGGGGCTAATTAGGACAACAACAGGGCATCTACAGCATCAAAGGAAGGTATGCAGCTCTTTAAGTACATGTTAGCACAACCCACTCAGTTCCACTCTGTCCCCATAGCCCTGAAAGTTTATTTCCGTTAAGTACCATCCATTTTCTTTCTGAAATCATTGATTCTCTCCACTCCCATCATCCTTGTAGGCAGAGAGTTCCAGAACATTACAGCTCATTGCATAAAAAAACTGCCTTCCTAAATACATTCCTCACGCAGCTATTGCCCAGAACTGCTGCTCTGTCTCCCCCTGTTCCTCACACCATCAGTTAATGGGAGCAGTTTCTCTTTGTCTACCTTATCTAAACTTGTTATAATCTTGCCCACCTCAATCCAATCTCCATTGCTCCCACCTTCTCCCACTCTATAACCTAGTCACTAAAATTCCCCGTCACTGGAACCATTCAGGTAAATCCCTTCTGCCCCCTCTCGAGTATCAGCCACCTCCTTCCTAAAGGCTGGGGACCAGAACTGGACACAGTGCTCTCACTGGGGCCTACCCAGAGCTTTATGAAGGTTCAGCCTCACTTTCTTACTCAAGACCTTTCTTTCTGAAGACCAAGATCCCATTTTTGTTGCTAACCACTCTCTCAATATGTCCTGTCACCTTCAAAGATCTCTGCACATACATCCACAAGTCCCTTTGTTACTGTACACTCTTCAGAACTATGTCATTAAGTCTATATTACCTGTCTCTATCTCCTTGGTCAAAATGCACCACCTCACACCTTCTTGGCATTAAACCCTTACAGTGTAGAAGCAAGCCATTTGGCCCATAAAGTCCACACCACACCCCAGAGAGCATTCCACCCAGACCCACGCCCCCCACCCCCCACCAACCCTATAACTCCACATTTCCCATGGCTAACCCACCTAGCTTGCACATCATGGGTAATTTCCCATGGCCAATCCACCCTAACCTGCACCACTTTAGACTGTGGGAGGAAACCCATGCAGACACAAGGAGAACGTGCAATCTCCACATAGACAGTCGCCCGAGGGTGGAAGCGCGCTCGGGTCCCTGGTGCTGTGAGGTAGTAGTGCTAACCACTGTGCCACCATATTGGCCCAAATAGTCAGTGCTGGTGTTTGTGGTTTTTTTTTTTTTTACTGGGGAAGTAATGGCCTAGTGGTATTGTCACTAAGTTATTCATCGAGAGCCCCAGGGGGACTTAAGTTCAGTTCCTGCCCTGGCAGATGGTGGAATCTGAATTCACTAATTTAAAAAACAAATCTGGATTAAGAGTGTAGCGATGACCATAAAACCATTGCTAGTTGTTGGGCACAAACCCATCTGGTTCGCTAATGCCCTTTTAGGGAAGGAAATCTGCCATCCTTACCTGGTCTGGTCTATAACTGACTCCAAACCCACAGCAATGTTGGCTCAACCAATGATGTCCACACCCTGTGACTGAAATATGTTAAAAAAATTCACACAAGCCTCATTCCACTCTCCTTCATCTAATCCCATCAATTATTCTAATCCTTTCTCCCTCATGTTTATCCATCCCTCAATTCATCAAGACTATATACCTCGACACTCCCTGTGGGATTGAGCTCTACATTCTCCTTGTTCTTTAGCTGTAAGACATTTCCCCAGAATATATTTGTAGATTTACAGATGGGAATATTTTCTCTGCGTCTATCTAATTATAATTTTAAAGACATTTGTCATGTTATCTCAGTCACTTCTCTTTTTTCTTTCCTCAGAAAAGAGACCCTAGCTGTCCAGTTTTGACATCAGTTTCACAACTAGTTTTTGCATTTTCTTCTTCCGGCCTTTCTTTGTAACGTGGAGACCTGAACTGTGCTCAGTGCTTGAAGTGTTTCTCTTTCAGACATATTGTAGCATATCCACAAGCGACACAGGACCTCATCATATACACATAACAAACAAAGCCTTAAAACACACAAAATGTAAATTAAATACATGAATAAAATGAAAACTAAATCCTGTGTCGTTCCTTGAAAAAGATGTTTCTTCCCCCTACCAGCACGGTGGCTCTGGTCAGCACTGCTGTCTCTCAGCACCAGGGACCCAGGTTCAATTCCACCCTCGGGTAACTGTCTGTGTGGAGTTTGCACATTCTCCCTGTGTCTGTGTGGGTTTCCTCCGGGTGCTCCGGTTTCCTCCCACAGTCCAAAGATGTGCAGGTTAGGGTGGATTGGCCATGGGAAATGCAGGGATAGGGTAGGGGTGGGTCTGGGTGGGATGCTGTACAGAGGTTCAGTGTGGGCTGAATGGGCTGATCCCACGCTATAGGGATTCTATGATTCTACCAAAGACATTCGACATTTTTCGTTCAACATAGAAAATAGGAGCAGGAGTTGGCCCTTAAAGCCTGCTGCAACATTCATTCTGATCTTGGCTGATCACCCTCTTCACTTCCCTGATTCCACTCTTTCCCCATACTCTTTCATCCCTTTCTCCCTAAGAATGATATCAATCTCATCTTGGAAACACAAAATCCCAGGATTGCTGTAAGTTTCCTTTCTATTCAATAGTCAAAGGCACATTCCAAGCCAGAGGGAACAAGGGGCCTGACTGGTCCGAGAGGCTAAATCCATGCAAGGAATCCAGGCTATAAACCCAGAACCATTTGAAATTCTGCTTGGTGATTGGTTTTGATGTGATTTTGGCCCTCTGATCATCTGTTGTGTCTTTTTAACTCAAACAGGTTTGAAGCTGCAAGCTGAACCTCAGCAACGTTTTGAGGTAAGACTTTTGCAGTTCAGCTTCAATAATGTAGAAAGCAGGCCTCGGCCTATAGTTGAATGTAAAAGGACAGTCTGTGGGGGAAGAAGGAATTAATTTGTCAGTTCTTTGCTTTTGCTATAGTTAACTCGTTGACCATTATTTTTGACTGTGAGAGTCGCAGAATCATAAAGATTTGCAGCACAGAAAGAGATCGTTCAACCCACAATGTCCATGCCAGTCACAAACAACCACCTAGAGTCTTAGTCATACAGCACAGAAACAGACCCTTCAGTCCAACTCATCCATGCCAACCAAGTTTCCCCAATCAGAACCAGTTCTATTCGTCTGCGTTTGGCCCATATCCCTCTAAACCTCTCCTATTCATGTTCATGTCCAAATGTTTTTAAATGTTGTTACTGTACCCACATCCACCACTTCCTCTGGCAGCTCATTCCATACATGCACCACCCTCTATGTGAAAAAAAGCTGCCCCTCGGGTCCCTTTTAAATCCTTCCCCTCTCACCTTAAGCCTGTGCCCTCTAGTTTTACAGCCCCTTATAAAGTATTCTTAACAAATTTTGATCAAAGTAAGTTTTTGCTGTGATGTGATGTGCATTTACCTTTAAGAGGGCATATCTTAAACTGTTGTCAAAGATGGCTAACACCGCAAAACTAATGACAAAAACAATGGTTTTATATTGTGTCTACTGATAACAAGTCTCCAATCAAAAGCTTACACATTTACTCACCAAGGTGCATGGCATGGTGGCACAGTGGTTAGCGCTGCTGCATCACGGCGCCAGGGACCCAGGTTCAATTCCAGCCTCGGGTGACTGTCTGTATGGAGTTTGCACATTCTCCCCCTGTCTGTGTGGGTTTCCTCTGGGTGCTCCGGTTTCCTCCCACAGTCCAAAGATGTGCAGGTTAGGGTGGACTGACCATGAGAAATGCAGGATTATGGGGTAGGGGGGCTGGGTCTGGGTGGGATGCACTTCAGAAGGTCAGTGTGGACTTGTTGGGCTTCCAAACTGTAGGGATTCTATGATTCTAACCCTGAGATGCAGTAGTACTTCTGCCTAACCCTTCCCAGTTTCCTGTATTGCCTTAGAGATTTTCTACCATCCTGGAGCTCAGTGGGTAATATGGATATGGAACCTCAGCCTAATCCCTGAGAATTTACGAATCTCCCTGTGAAATGGCTTCCCTGATCAGAGTCCATCCGAATGGACATTCCCCACCTAGGGAGCACTCCTTCTGTCAAGTCCCAGGCTGCAATCATGAACGAATGCTATCTTGTGGGGAACATTTTCAACTTTCACTATCAACTAGTGAATTGATTAATGGGCACTGGGCAGAATTTATTCTGCTTTCACAGAGGAAATAGTCCGGAAAATCTATCTGTAGGTGTTCCCAGGGCCCCCTTGGATGTGCTTGGTGTTGGTGTTGGTGTTGTAATTTTTACTGCTTTCCTCGGTTATGTTGTGCACATCTGATACCCTGGTGGAAATACTTTGCACGTTCTCTCCCAACCCTTTCTACCATCAACAACTATCAATAGATTCAACCTGTCACAGAGTCATACAGTACAGAAACGGCCCCTCGGTCCAACCAGTCCGTGCCGACCATGTTCCCAAACTAAACTAGCCCCACCTGCCTGTACTTGGCCCATATCCCTAAAACCGTTCCTATTCATGTACTTACCCAAATACCTTTTAAATGTTGTAATTGTACTCGCAACCGCTTCCTCAGGAAGTTCATTTTGCTCGCAAACCACCCTCTGTGTAAAAAAAAACTTGCCCAACATGTGTTTTTGTTTTAGATCTTTCTCCTCTCACCTTAAAAATATGTTTCGTAGTGTTGAAATCCCCTGTCCTAGGGAAAAGACCCTTGCTAGTCACTTTATCTATGCCCCTCATGATTTTATAAACCTCTACAAGGTCACCCCTTAAGCCCAATGCAAACATACCCAACCACCATACATACTGGTCACATATATTTCCCTTTTTCTCCACGTCAGTGTGTGCTCCTGCAGATCTATAATTGCCCCCAGTAGCTGTAGTGTGTCTATCCCCGAAGTAATGCCCATGCTATTTGGGCATACCCAGAACTGGACTTCTTAATTTTAGATGTACCCACTCAGTTCTCTTAGCTTCTAGCCTTCTCCTCGTGCTGAGGTTACCCGCTGTGTCAGAGGAATTTTCTTTGTAACAGATATTGATGTGTCTATTAACATTCTGACCCCTGACACTGTGTTCATAAACCCAGAGCAAACCTGAGAATGTTTGTCACCCACTGGGACACCTTCATTCCTCCAGCAATTTTTTATTTAAAACTGCGGAGGCCCATTTTCTGGAAGTTTATCCGTTGTATTTGCCGTTCAGCTTGATTTTTGGAGCAGTCATGGCTGAAGTGTCCGTATCTGAGGCAGATACCCAGTTATTTTGCAGCAGCTATTCTCAGTCACTGCCACAGCGATGTGTGCAGCTTTTTTCCCTCAAATCTCCTATTCCCTAGTTCCTCTGCCCATGCCATCGGTTGGTTATATATGCGGGGGCAAGACGTCCACCCTTTGGACTGAAGACTGCTGAGCTAATTGACAGGGCAAGGCCACGCTGTAGCATGTAGGTAAGTGCTGAGTGAGTCAAAGCTTAAGAGAGTGAGCAAGCCCAGAGTTGGAGCCTGGTCCAGTCTGTGAGCTGGGTGTATAATCCCTGTACCAGAAGTGTTCCTGGAGCAGCCCCTTTCACTGTTAGCTGTAGTGCACCCTGCAAGTGGATCAGACGGGTGCCATGATGGCCATGAGGGGTTGGCAAATGCCAGATGCCAATGCCAGCGGACGAGGGCGGTTTTTACCCTGAGATGGTGACCGACATGGAGCTGCTCTGACTTCCAAATGGAGCTTGTTTGACCCATTTGGGAAGATAAGTGAATATTGAGGAGGCATGTTGGGCTGTCAACAAGGTGTTTAATAAGCTATAAACCAACTCTTCATGACTAGCTGCCCAGTGAGAAACTCGCTGTAATGCACAGGAAATTCAGAAGAAATATTTGCACAAGACGTCTTATCTGATTCTGCCTTAAATCTCTCAATGAGCACTGTGGGGATTTGGCTTCTCAGCTTGGAGAAGGTGTGAAGGAAATGCGATTATATCAAGGCATACAATGCAGTAAAGCTCACTAAAGTTAACATGAAGCATTCTTTAAATGAAACAGTGAAGGTGGAGCAGGGGAACTTCATTCCAACTCGGGGAGGGCAATTTTAGCATGAAACTGCAAAGTCGGCTTCACATAGAGTGAAGATTATTTGCAAAAAGCGTGCTTGATAGAATTTTGGAGGCAATAACTACACTATCATTTAAGGGACAATTACATGTTAGAACGGGCAGACCTGTCTGCAAGAGGTGAATAAAGGTGGCCCCAATGTTTATAATATCGACGGGCTTACATTCCAATGTAATTTACAAATGTCTGCATTCAGAACAAAACTGCCCGTCGAAACTTGTCACAATGTAATTGCACCTGATCTGCAGTGGTGAGAGGAATTCTTATTGTAGTGGGATACATTTACACAGGGTTTCAAAAAGCAGATGAAGTGATTTATAATAGAATAATAAAAATCAGCATAGGAAGCACGGTTTCAAAACCGAGACTGCATTGAACCTGCATCCCATTTGCAAGTATTTCATACCCTCTCACCTGACTTGAATTGAGAATGCAACACCTCTCCAGTGTGCAGGCATGTTCCTCAAAATTCGACCTGATCAGAACTGGGCTCAGTGCTCTGTGGTTGTTTGTGACCAAAACAGAAGACATGTTGAACACGCTGTCTGAGCCCAGTGTGTGTGCTTTGCTGACAACTTCCTCTCTGTACTATCCTCCTTTCCCAGTCTGAATTGCCTGCAGTCAGCTCTGCTAACCTGTCTAGAAACCCCTTGATTTTTCTCTCTCTCTCTCTCCTGCCTTCAACACATTCCTTTACATCTGCCTGTTTGACAAGTATTTGAGCTGGTGACCGAGCCTTCCCCAATGTGACCTGTGTCATACTTTGTTGTATAACACTTTTGTGAGTTGCAAATATACATGGAGCCTGCATGTTGTAGTCTGGAGCTATCAATAGTAATGGGAAAGGTTTCAATTTCCATTCCATCGCTGGGTATCATCACTCTTACTGCCTATCACTGGTGTACATTCCAGGTCTTCCAAGTTGACACACATGCTGCGTTATATACACATCTTCTTCCTTGTTTGTGAAGTGGACAAATAGCTTCTGGGTCAGAGGCAGGGTCATTTCCCACTGAGGCCCCAGCTTGCCTCTGCTCTTTGGCATACCTGTGTAAATGATGCCGCAGTTTTGGATTTGCTTACTCTGATTATGTAAGCATCTCTTCGGCTGGCATTATTTGCATTTCGCCCTCCCCAAACAATTGGCTCAGTACAGATAGAACAATGATCATTTACAGGACACAGATTGCATAGTTGTTCTTTCATATCTGGCACCAACATTAACACTGAGTTTATTGGGAGTGGATGAAATTTCCTTCTGTGTGGTAGATCAAAGGTCATTTTCATCAACATCCTGAGGGTTGCTATTGACCAGAACCTGAACCAGACTCACCACATAAACACAGTGACTACAAGAGCAGGTCAGAGGCTGGGAATCCTGCAGCGAGTAACTCCCCTCCTGACTCCCCAAATCCTGTCCACCATCTACACGGCACAAGTCAGGAGTGTGATGGAATACTCCCCACTTGCCTGGATGGGTGCAGCTCCAATAACACTTGAGAAGCTTGACACCATCCAGGACAAAGCTCCCACTTGATTGGCACCACATACACAAACATCCACTCCCACCACCACCGACGCTCAGTAGCAGCAGTGTGTACCATCTACAAGATGCACTGCAGAAATTCACCAAAGAT